GCTGCCTATTTAGAGGTTCATTGTGTTTGATTTAGTAAAGTGAAGGGGCTTCATCGGCATCTACTGGACCGTGGGCATTTACCCTTTCGCCATGACAGAAACAATTAAAGGTGAGCTTTGAAATGTGTTGGGTTATCTTTCTTCTTAAATGCGTAGGAGATATATGGAAAGATTTTACGCGTGAGATTAGCAAACTTCATTAGCGGCCTAGAATTGTCGCAGCGTTTCTACAAAGGCATCGCGATACTTTTAGTTACCTGGGGCTTCAGGCATGGTGGTATTCAAATATTAGCAGCCATAACACGGCTAAGGAGAGGAAAGATTCTACGAAAGTTTGAAGTTTAGACGAGAATAATCGCCCAGGAAGTTGCAAAATTAAGTTAATCGGCGCGACCACATCCGTGTTGCTGCCTAAACGTTGTCAGTGGCGCCCCTTACCCTGTCGCGCGTAATGCGGTTGTCGCTGTATTAAATACACCAGAAATACATCGCACAGAGTATTTCCTAGTTCTGTACCCCGGCTAGTGGGTATCCGGACATCGTAGTGAGGCTAAGAGCAGAAATAGATATGAATCGCCGCAAGTGTTTTGATTAAATAAACAACGCTGCTAATTTCACGGTAGCGCGACCGCCACTGTCAGGAGCTGTATCCAAACCGGTGAATATGTTACATTATTTTTTCTTATGTTTTGGATATGACTGGTACTTACGCAAGTGCTTAGGCTAATTATGCAAATGAGATTTCCTTTCTCGCTCATGATCTTACCTGCGCAGACCTTACCATGCCATGTCGCTTTGTGCATGATAAATGTGAAATTGTGATAGTGATGACAGGACAGGCTGACCGTTAACATTTTGGGAATGCAGTATACCCCAACGTTAACCGCCTTATCTCGCTAATCAATATTAGGGTAGACAGTACGTCCAGTAAATAAATGCTGCGGTTAAAAGTATTTTGTGATGGTGAAATAAAACTCAGTGTATAGTAGCCATTGTAAATACTGAATACTTATAAAGGTAGACCAGACATGCCGTATATTAGAGTATCGCATTTGTACAAGGGTGCAGGTAGAAGAACTTGTAAAATCCTTACTTGCCCAATCTAAAGTAATGGTTGGAATTCTATTAGTGTCAGCCAGTGTAGATTTTCGTAGGGGGAAATATATTCAGCCCCTAAATGTGATGCTACGACTGTAAATATAATCAGAGGGAGGCCCATAGGAGAATTGATAATGGTTGGATATCAAACTAACATAGTGATTGAAGAATGTCGCTGCAGTTGCGGTATAGATGTTGATACTAAACCTCATTGTATACTTAATTTAAGTGCATGTATACAGAAATAATGGTAGTAGTTTGATATATTAAGGATTCGTTTTATATGGTAACCGAGAGGCCTGCGATTACTAAATGTGGTATTATAATATTACTCTTATTATGATTATTACATATAACTGCATTTTGTTCTAATTACTGTTGCTATTACTTACTGTTATTATATCATTATTATTATTATTACTAATATCATTATCATTATCGTTATCATATCATCACCGTCATGATAATCGATATTATTATTGTAGTTATTAATTATTTTGATATCATTATTGCTCTTATTTTAGTCACTATTATTCTTATTATTACTATTATTAATACTATTGTCATTATTATTATCATTTTTATTATTATGATCTGTATTAGTATTATTATCAGCAATATTACTGTCTTTGTTCTTTTCATTGTTGCTATTATTATCATTGTTGTTGTTGTTATCATAATTTTATAGTATCATTGTTGATGTTATCATCGTAATAATAAAAAATATTATTATCATTATTATTGCTATTATTATTATAATTATCATTATCATTGTTATTATTATTATTATTATTATTATTATTATTATTATTATTATTATTATTATTATTATTATTATCATTATTGTTGGTATTATCGTCATCATCATCATCATCATCATCATCATCATCATCATCATCATCATCATCATCATCATCATCATCACTATTATTATTATTATTATTATTATTATTATTATTATTATTATTATTATTATTATTATTATTAATTTTGTTGTTGTTGTCGATGAAAATTATGATAATGATAATGATAATTATAATGTAAATATGTAATAGTAATAATGGTCATAGTAATAGTATTGATAATAAAGATAATAATAGTCTTAATAATGATAATAATAACGATAATGAAAAAATAATAATGATAATGATAATAGTAATTATGATCATGAAAATAATAAATGACAGTATTAATTATGACGGTTATTATTGGTGTTCTTATTATTTTGATTATTATTCTATTGTTGTTGTTATTATTATTATTATTATTATTATTATTATTATTATTATTATTATTTCTCTTATTATTATCATCATTATCATTATGATTATCATCACTATTTTCGTCGTTCTTATCATTCTTCTTCTTCTTCCTCTTATTGTTATTATTGTTATTACTATTA